CCGTCCCAGGACCAATTTTGGGGTTGCGCATCCTCTCGAGGCACAAAGCCACTGGGATTTCAGAGCACCTCCAAGATGCAGAGATTGAAGAAGGCATTTCTCGCTTCATACAACTAAATCTGAAATCCATTCCCGACACTTCTCATGAGGCAAGGGAGAAGACGGGGCGAACCATTCTAGCCAAGTCATCGGGTTGCTTTCTATGGGTCAAACTTGTCTTCACCCAGCTTCAACAAGCAGACTCAAAAGCCGACGCCCAACGGATCATCGATTCTGTACCACCAGGCATGGATGCTCTCTATCGACGAATTCTTGTCTCCATGGCAAGTGACCAGCACAGCCAACCCTTGGCCAAGGCTATCCTCAAATGGGCAGCCTATTCGTCTAGACCATTGAGAATCGAGGAGCTACAGTCAGCACTAGAGATAGATATCAACGACGAGATCCCTCACATGGAAAGGGTTGTCTCCAGACGCTGTGGCCATCTTGTCTACTTCGATAGCAAGATGCGTCTGCAGCCACTTCACGCTACTGTGAAGGAATTCTTGACGGATCCGACAATTGTCTCCGATTTTGTCACACAACGCAACACTGCACACAAATCTTTGGCTCTAACTTGTCTGAAGTATCTATCTGGCAACGCCTTGAGGCCGATGAAATTTCGCCGAAGCAGCGCTGACCAAACGCAAACCATGGCGCTGATGGATTATGCGAGCACTGCTGTTTTCGACCACATTGCGAAATCCGGTCCATATGCCTCCGAACTTATTCAACCCTTGGCGGCGTTTTTGGCATCCTCCAATGTTCTCGCGTGGATAGAATACTTGGCTTCACAATCTCGCTTGGGAAGGCTGTTACAGGCGGGCAAAACCATATCTCGTCTTCTCAAGCAGAACGATCTCACATCGATCACCGGCCTGTCAAAAGATACAAAGACTTTGGAGGGCTGGGAAACTGACCTTGTCCGTCTGGTCTCTAAGTTTGGTCGGCAACTACGCGCTCGTCCGAGCGCCATCCGAAGCCAGATTTCCCCCTTTTGTGTCCTGATGATTCTATAATTCATCAGCAGTTTGCCTCAACACGAGATCTACACATTGTGGGAACGTCGAATATAGCCTGGATGATTGTGCTTCGGTCATCAACCAAGGGCGTGGAGAGACAATCACAGCGGTTTCGAGCTCAACACGTTTCCCTCGTAACTGGCATCATGCTGGGCCGAGAAGCCATCATCTACGACGAATCTACCTACCAAGAGATCCGACGCCTGAACATTGAAGAGCCACCAATGATAATTTCTATGAGTTCGAAGGAGAAATATTTGGCAACGGCAGGGCCGAAGTCCGTCAAGATCTGGTCTGTTGCATCATGGACTCTACTCACGTGCATCCCAACTCCAGTGCGGTGCCTCTCACTTGCCTTCATTGAAGAAGACGAGCTTCTTGCCATAGCAATGACGAACAATCAGTTCGTTTTTTGGGACATCCAGGCCGACGAGATGGTCGACGGAGCCCGTTGGACGGATGCCGAGGAATCGAGGGAGGCCTATGACAGAAGATGGCCTGTCATGGCAGCAACAAGTGCCTCACAGTGTCTGATGGCCATCGTGTATCGCTCACAAGACCTCCTTGTTTGGAATTTTGAAGAACGTCGCCTCCACGATATCTACAACCGCGAATGTGGCTCACGCCTCAATGCGTCGTCGACGGTGCCAATGCGTAAATCCACGATTCTTTGCCTCGCATTTAGCGCATCGCAAACATCGACTGCCTTGGTCGCGGGGTATTTTGATGGTGAACTGGTTTTGTATGATACAAAACTTGGTATTGTGAGAAGTACTGTCCCAGCAGTCAATGCTCTATGTATGACCAGCTCTCACGACGGCCGAACACTGGCAACAGGGGACGCCGAAGGCACGATTCAGATTTTCAACCTCGAAAACATACACCGGCTTTATCGCATCACTTTCAATGCCGAATTCATTGGCGTGCGAGCTCTCGCGTTCACGGGAGATGACCTCCGTCTACTTGACATCCGTGGAAAGCAGTGCCGCGTCTGGGAGCCACGAGCACTCCTCCGACAGGAAGTTGATGATGACGACAGCGACACGCTCTCTTTATCTACGGCCACACACGAAGTCGAGTTCACTGGTGCTATGGATCTGATCTATATCACATGCATTGCAGTGATGGAACACGGGCAGTATATCCTATGTGGTAAAGACGACGGCTCAGTACAAATCTATGAATGCGCAAAGGGAGAGACTCTTCAAACACTTTTCACGCATAAGACTGCTGTCAAGCATATCAAATTTGACGAAGATAGCAATACCATTGTCAGCTTGGACCAGTCTGGCACACTTGCTTGCTACCAGCTCGTCATGCTCAACAGATCAAAGTGGCGCATCGTGGACATTTTTGATGAACACGTTGAGGGCGCTGTTGATCAGATTCTCATAAACAGAGGCCTTTCACGCCTTCTTGTCTCATCTGGCGAGCATCATGTGCTGTTCTCAGTAGACAGGGCATTGCACAAAGGTACGATTTCTCGAGCATTCAAGACAGCTTCGGTCTCAGGCCATACCTGGAGTAATCATCCAACATCTAACGACCATGTCGTCTTGTTTTCTGCTGGACGAGCGTTCTCCTTTTCGTGGCATGATCTAAAATAAATGCGAAAACCCTCTGGAGGATCTGCCCATACTAAGGAGTG